AAGAGGGGAAGAAACAAAAGCTGCAGTTCACAGACCACTGCTGGGTTGAGGGGAGAAGAGGATAAACAAAAACAGAGTAAGAAATGCACACTGTGCTTGTCTGCTTAGAACCTTAGGCTACAGCACAGACTTTTATCTTCTTCCTACCCTTGCTTTCTAGTTAAGTGTATCAAAGTATCACAAATCCAAACTCTGCAAGCTTATACAAGTGATAAAAGTATGCCTTTAGAGGCTTGTTTTTCCTGTGCAGATCAACTCCTAGCAGTCTCAAATTAAGACACTCCTTAACTTGACATCATTATTTCAGTGAAGACACATCAATATCTCAAGATGACCAGCAATGGGTTTTGTCTTATTTTCATTAAAAAGCTGGAGGGGCTGGGGGGAGAGGGGATGGCAAAGTCAGCATGTGTGATCTGCAGTTCTGTAAATCCTGCTGGATTTTTTTTTAGTTTACTGCACTAATATTTACCCAAGGCTCTGTGTGTAGACAACTTTTTGTTGAACTTATGCGTCAACATAAATGAGTAAAATCTTACATATACTGATGGGCTTGTTATACCTGGTTTCCAGACCAGCTGCTTCCTGGAGCATCTCTGTGGTGACTGCCTCTGTGTTAAAGAAGTCCTTGATGCTTTGCAGAAGTTCTGCCTTTCGGGGGTCAGGCAGACTGTCTGCATTCAGCAGTGCTCGGGCCCCCGAGCGCACTTGCCTGCGCAGAGGGTCCTCCAGCAGACGCACGCCTTCCTCAGAGCCAATGGGTGCACCAAACTCCTCAGCCAGCTGCTGCTTGAGATGGTTGTCATAGTAATTGGAGATGGCATGGCAGGATGTGCAGAGTAGGAGCACATCATGGCAGTTGTGGTCCTTCATCTGGATGGGGAAGTGTCTTCGGTATTCATGAGGAACAATGTTCTTCCTAGGGAAGACAAACCAGCCAGCTCACCACATTTGCCTGAAGCTGCCACTCCCCAATTCCTCCTCTTCCTGGCCCACAAAGGGTCAACTAATACTAAAAGTCCAGGAAAACAAATCACCAGCACCAGGACCCTCAGTGTGGCAATAAGTTCTGCAACTTCTTTTTATTTGTACTTCTCTCCACGTTTTCTGCATTTCGCTTTTTCCCCCCACTTCCAAAAATTCATTGCTTTCAATTAAAAAGTGATCCATACTGAAAAAAAAACCAAAAAGCGCAACACACTACAACAAGCGTACCTCTCAGCTACATAGCAGCAGCTGCAAAGACAAAAATCTGACCCTTTGTCACCTCATGGGCTTCAGGCTCACCTAAACCTTTTAAAAATGCAAGGATTAAGTACTGGAAGGAATAGTACAGCTATTGCCAGAAGGGGATGCCATCAGAACAGTGTGTGTTGGCATGCTGCTGCCCCCATCATTCAAACCACAGCACACACATGTTCCATATGCTTTGTTCTCTCCAAGGACCGATACCTCCTGCCTCTAGAAGAAGAGGGAAGGTTGGCCTGTTCAGCGTCAAACTTACCCAGACACATACAACTACAGAGCATTCAGTGACAGCCCATCCAGGATACAAACAAGCATGATGTTTCAGGCCACTATCCAAGCTTCTGGGTGCCAAACTAGATGCCGACCTCAGTCCTGTTTTAAAAGATGCATTTTTCTCCTATCCCGCTAAACTCACCGGATATATGACTCTCGCTTGCCACACACAACACACAGGTTCTCTTTGACTGTCAGATAATAATCGACTTGAGACTCGGGACGTCCTGAAGGCTCAAACCGCAGCTTCACAACAAATGGGTCTGTGCTAACTAGCTCTGAAAGGGTAAACAGACACAGAGAATATTCAAGACAAATTTGTATTTGAAAACTAAAATAACAATGTTAAAACATAGAATCATCTTAGTGAATCCCCAACAGTATTTCCAATAAGAAATTATACCAAAAATTCATGCCCAGTTACCTAGGAAACAAGCAAAAAGCACTGTATTTCAAATACCAACAGCCAAATTGGTATGCTCACCTCCAATTCCCTTGTCCAGATACCACTGAGCCTTCTTGCGATCACAAGTGCACAGGGGCTGTCCATCTGGTGCATGCAGGAAGCAGTTGTCATACAGTGGAGATTTTCTATGAAACAAGGGCAACATTACAGCAACTATAACAACATGCTAAAAAAATAGAGCTCTCTATAGCCGCGCATTCCACCCTGCACTTCGTGCAGCCTCCTCCAAATTTCAGGAGTGCCCCTAAACACACACTTATGGCTGCTGAGCACTGCACAAAGTGCTGCTAAGGGAAGCAGAACATCTAAAAACTTACTTGGGCTTCACCAACTGACTGTAAGGTATCTTTGCTCTCCTATTGCCAATAGAATTGTAACTCTGAATCCCAGTTTTCAAGAGATGCCATCAATGACGACAGCATTTAAAAAAAAAAA